ACTGTGTGCACGGAAATCTCGAGTGAAAACCCCCTCGAAGAGGACCGGAGACTGGTATAAGAAATTGAGCGGTTAACCAATCAGTGCTATTTTGCTCGTCCCTTAGCCAGATTGCGACCGGACTCCTTTCGGACTGCCGTAGCTACCTCGGGCTTAAATCGGGCAGTCCTCGGTCGTACTCAGATTCCTAACGGACTGCCCTGGAATACATCCGGCCCTGTCCGAAGGCAATCGGACAGACTTTGGAACTACCCCCGACAAGTTTTCGAGGGGGCCGCCACTCCTGAAATCATGTGTACGCCCTCCCTGAAATCCTCCTGAAATCATTTGAAATCCACCTGCAATCATGAAATCATGCGTAATCTGCCAGCAAATTTTAGTCTGAAATCCTTAGTAGGTCATGTATAAACCTCCGGAATCACGTAAAATCCGCCGGAATCTTGTGAAATCCGCCGAAATCCGGTAAAATCCGCTGAAATCATATGTAATCCTTCAAATCAGACATAATCTGCTGGCAGGTTTTAGCGTGATGTCTTCTAAAATAATATGCGAAATCCGTGAAATCATGTGAAATCACGCAATCTTTGCAATCATGTGTACATCCAAAGAGAGAGTGGTGGCCCCCTCGCAAGTTTTGGTACAATTTCGTTTCGTAAGGGTGGTGTTGAACCATGTCGCTCCTCCCCCTGTCTAGCAGAAACGAGAGGGCAATAACTCTGGGAATCATGTGTACACACCGGCCCGGGAATCACTGAGAATCAGCAGGAATCAATGAGAATCGCGACGGGAATTAATGGGAATCATGGATTCCAGGAATCATGTGTGCACTTGAATGCAGAGTTATTGCCCCCTCGGGCAGGAACGGTTTGGTTTGAAAATCACCGAAATATGGAGAAACGTGGTTTCCGGTGGTTTCACTAGAGTCGCGCAAAAATACTTGGTTCCTCTAAAAGCGCTTCGCCGTGCGTGCTATGAGTTAGGGACGATCGATTTAGGCAACAGCGGCGCTCATTGCAGATTGGTCAACGCCACAATTCCTCATTATATTTTCGATATTCGTCTTCGTCATTTCTGGTCGTCTGCTTCGAGGCAACTCCGCAATGTAAGAAAAACGGACGTCGCTACTTCCAGGGCGGTCTCACTCTAGAATTGGTTCTGGAAAAGCGATAAACGTCCTGACACATAGACTGCAAACCCATGAGTGAGTGAGGATTCGTGTTCGAAATAAGTGACATAAGCTGTTTTGGCCCGGACCAAAGAAGGCAAGGACTGTTGACTTGACTAACCACGAGGCCTCTTTTGGCCCAAGGTTCCGACCGGAGCCGTTCATATTGCGAGGCCCTTCCACCGGGGCACGATGCCGGCCATACATGCTGATCCCGGTTTTCGGTTGCAAACCCAGCATCCTCAAAGATGGCAGATAAGTGGGTTCCCGAACTCTTGGCAGCCCCGAACGATCACGGAGGGGGTTGGCCCCCGTGTTTATTCATCAGGGGGACTCAGGGTGCGGAGACCCTGGTTGATACAGCGCCGGCGTCCTCGGAAGGCAGCGGGGTGGGTTCCCGTGCTCTTGCCCAACTCGAACGATACACAGGGAGCAGAGGCCCCGCGGGTCATTCCTCAGCAGGGCAAGGGTCAGGAGCAGTGGCGCCAAGACGATTTTCGCGAGGTGCAGCAAGCCGGAGGCACAACACCCGGTTATTTCCCCC